TTAAGCAAAAGGAACCCAAACATAACACTAAAGAAAGCCATCAAACTACAAGGGAAGAGAGCAAAAGAAGAAGCAAGGAACAGAGAAGAACTACTAAAACACCCAGAAAAAATGTAACAAAGTGGCAATGAGTACATTGTTATCAATAGCTACTTTAAATGTCAATGGACTAAATGCTCCAATCAAAAAGCATAGGGTGGCAGACTGGATATAGACCCATATATTATATACACTGCATACAAGAGATACACTTCAGACCTACAGACACTCACAAACTGAAAGCGAAGGGATGGAAAAAGATACTCCATGCAATGGCAATGAAAAGAAAGCTGGGGGAGCAATAGTTATTATCAGACAAAACAGGCTTTAAAACAAAAACTATAACGAGACAAAGAAGGGCACTACATAATGATAAAGGGAACAATCAAACAAGAGGATATAACACTTGTAAATATCTATGCACCCAACTAAGAGCACCTAAATATATAAAGCAATTATTAACAGACATAAAAGGACAAATAGCAACACAATAACAGTAGGGAACTTGAACATTCCACTTACACCAATGGATAGATCATCCAAACAGAAGATCAATCAGGAAACATTGGCCTTAAATGACACATTAGAGTAGAAGGACTTAGTAGATATATACAGAACATTCCATGCAAACACTGCAGAATACACATTCTTTTCAAATGTACATGGAACATTCTCCAGGACAGATTACATATTAGGCCTCAAAACAAGTCTCAATAAATTCAAGAAGACTGAAATAATACCAAGCATCTTTTCTGACCACAACAGTATGAAATTAGAAATCAACTACAAGAAAAAAACTGGAAAAGCCACAAGTATGTGGAGATTAAACAAAATGCTACTGAACAACAATTGGGTCATGAAGAAATCAAAGGAGAAATCAAAAATACCTGGAGACAAATGAAAATGAAAATATAACATGCTAAGGTTTATGGGATATGGCAAAAGCAGTTCTTGTAAGTTTATGGCAATACAGGTCTACCTCAACAAATAAGAAAAATCTCAAATAAACAATCTAACAGTGCACCTAAAGGAACTGGAAAAAGAGCAAACAAAACCCCAAATCAGTAGAAGGAAGGAAATAATAAAAATGAGAGCAGAAATAAATGAAATAGAGGCTAAAAAAACAATTGAAAAAAATCAATGAAACTAAGAGCTGGTTTCATTAGGCAAATGACAAACAAAATTGACAAGCCTTTAGCTAGACACACCAAGAAAACAAGAGAGAAGGCTCAAATAAAAAGTGAATACTACAAAAAGCTATATGCCAATAAACTGGATAATCTAGAAGAAATGGATAAATTCTTAGAATTATACAACCTTCCAAAACTGAATCAAGAAGAAATAGAGAATTTGAATAGACCAATCACCAGTAAGGAGATCGAAACAAGACCAGATGGCTTCCCTGGTGAATTCTACCAAACATTCAAAGAAGACTTAATACCTATCCTTCTCAAACTCTGCCAAAAAATTGAAGAGCAGGGGAAGCTTCCTAACTCATTCTACGAAACCTACATAACCCCGATACCAAAACCAGACAAGGACAACACAAAAAAAGAAAATTACAGGCCAATATCACTGATGAACATCAATGCAAAAATCCTCACCAAAATACTAGCAAATCAAATACAACAATACAGTAAAAAGATCACACACCATGATCAAAAGTGATTTATTCTAGGGATGCAGGGATGGTTCAACATCTGCAAATCAATCAATGTGATACACCACATTAACAAAATGAAGACTAAAAATCACATGATCATCTCAACAGATGCAGAGAAAGCATTTGACAAGATACAGCATCTGTTTACAATAAAAACCCTGAAAAAAATGGGTACAGAAGGAAAGTACCTCAACATAATAAAGGCGATATGACAAGCCACAACTAATATTCTCAATGGAGAAAAACTGAAAGCTATCCCTCTAAGAACAGGAACCAGACAAGGATGCTCACTTTCACCACTCTTATTTAACATAGTATTGGAAGCCCTAGCCAGAGCAATCAGGCAAGAAAAAGAAATAAAAGGGATCCAAATTAGAAAGAAAGTGAAACTGTCACTATTTGCAGATGACATGATTTTATACATAGAAAACAATAAAGAATCCACCAAAAAACTTTTAGAAATAATAAATGAATATGGTAATGTTCCAGGATACAAAATCAACATACAAAAATCAGTTGTGTTTCTATATACTAACAACAAAGTAGCAGAAAAAGAAATTAAGAATACAATCTCATTTACAATTGTAACAAAAAGAATAAAATACCTAGGAATAAATTTAACCAAAGAGGTGAATGACTTGTATGCTGAAAACTATAAAACACTGTTGAAAGAAACAGAAGAAGACACAAAGAAATGGAAAGATATTCCATGCTCTTGTATTGGAAGAATTAACACAGTTAAAATGTCCATACTTCCAAAAACAATCTACAGATTCAATGCAATCCCTATCAAAGTTCCAATAACATTTTTCACAGAAATAGAACAAAGAATCCTAAAATTTATATGGAACAACAAAAGACCCTGAACAGCCAAAGGAATCCTGAGAAAAAAGAACAAAGCTGGATGTATCACACTTCCTGATTTCAAAATATACTACAAAGCTATAGTAACCAAAACAGCACGGTACTGGCAGAAAAACAGACACACAGATCAAAGGAACAGAATTGAGAGCCCAGAAGTAAACCCACACATCTATGCACAGCTAATTTTCAACAAGGGAGCCAAGAACATACAATGTTGAAAAAGAAGTCTCTTCAATAAATGGTGTTGGAAAAACTGGACAGCCACATGCAAAAGAATGAAAGTAGACCATTATTTTACACCATACACAAAAATTAACTCAAAATGGATTAAAGACTTGAATGTAAAACCTGAAACCATAAAACTTCTAGAAGAAAACATAGGCAGTATGCTCTTTGACACCAGTCTTAGCAGCATATTTTCAAGTACCATGTCTGACCAGGCAAGGGAAACAATAGAAAAAGTAAACAAATGGGACTGAATCAAACTAAAAATCTTCTGCATAGCAAAGAAAACCATCAATAAAATGAAAAGACAACCTAACAATTGGGAGAAGATATCTGCAAACCATATATCTGATAAAGGGTTAATCCCCAAAATATATAAAGAACTCATACATCTCAACAATAAAAAAACTAACAACCCAATTAAAAAATGGGCAAAAGATCTGAACAGACATTTCTCCAAAGAAGATATACAGATGGCCAAGAGGCACATGAAAAGATGTTCAACATCATTAACTATCAGGGAAATATAAATCAAAACTACAATGAGATATCACCTCAAGCCTGTCAGAACGGCTATAATTAACAAGACAAGAAATAACAAGTGTTGGAGAGGACATGGATAAAAGGGAACTCGCACACGCTGCTAGTGGGAGTGCAAACTGGTGCAGCCACTATGGAAAACAGTATGGAGATTCCTCAAAAAATTAATAGAACTACTATATGATCCAATTATTCCACTGCTGGGTATTTATCCAAAGAACATGAAAACACAAATGTGTAAAGATATATGCACCCCTATGTTTATTGCAGCATTATTCACAATAGCCCAGACTTTGAAGCAAACTAGGTGCCCATCAAGGGATGAATGGATAAAATAGATGTGGTATATATACACAACGGAATACTACTCAGCCATAAAAAGGATGAAATCTTGCCATTTGTGACAACATGGATGGATCTTGAGGGTATTATGCTAAGTGAAATAAGTCAGAGGGAGAAAGTCAAATTCCGTATGGTCACTCATAAAGAGAAGGTAAAAACAACAACAAACAACACAAAGAGATAGACTGGATTGGTAAGGTTCCCAGAGGGGAAGAGGGGAGGGAGGAGAGCAAAGCGGGTGACTAGGCACATTTGTATGGTGATGTATTCCAATTAGTCTTTGTGCGGTGGATAAGATGTAACCTACACAGAAATTGGAATATACTGATATACACCTGAAATTTATACAATGTTATAAACCAATGGTACTGCAATAAAAAAAGATTATAAATTGTTTTAAAATCCACAACCTTTTAAGAGGACAGAAGTTCAAATCTCTCATACCCAAAATGAGTAAATCTGACCCTGGAGGAAGACATACCATGTTTATCTTTTGGTTTTTCCTTCCTGGGGTAGGGTTGGAGGGTCCACTTGCCCCAGTGCGAGAATTATGGACGTAAATCATCAGTGGGAATTAAGATGTGATCAGTATTTACCCAAATGGCTTTGAACTGGACAGGACACACCCACTGAATCTATAGTCCTCCTTTGTAAAGCAAGGCCCATGTGACTCTGATTGTCCCCAGATGACTGTATTGGAGATTGGTTCCTGAGACAAAGGTTGCTACCTAAAAGCTAGATGCCTATGAGCTAGCTTCTCATGAAGAATTCTGACCAATAGGGATGCTATATGCGAGGCAGAAACTCACTGCATTATTTAAACTCTGCTTTTGGGGACCTGTGAATGTAAAACACATAGAAGAGTGACACAGAAGGTGATAATTTAGAATGAAGGCAATGCTATAAAGCAGTAGAAACCATGGTGATAGAGAGAAGATCAGCAAGACTAGATGGAAGAGGAGGTCTGGGTCCCTGGAAAAGAAGCAAACTCTAAACCTGCTGTTGTGTTGTAAACCTTGTTCCATTTCTCCATGAGGCCTGCTAAAAACGTTTTTGTATTCCGTAAGTGCCTGTAATTGAGATAACATTTAACAGTCAAACTAACCTTAAAGCATTGCTCTAAAAATGTTACCAAAAGCACAACCAAAAGGGACAGCTCTAGTGACAATCTACAGAAAATGATTTTCCATATACTCAGATACAGGTACAGACACACATTGGCAAAACGCTTCTATTCAAGCTTCTGTCTGACTTCTATTCCACTCCTGTGCTTCTTTTCATGCAAGATAAAAATAGGAGAAAATAAGTTTGTCACTGGGGTACTTACCCAATTCTAAAGCTGCTATTAGTGCCAAAGCAACAAGGGCTTCATTCTGCATTATTACATGTTCACTGGTTGCCATGGTAACTAGATGCTTGATGCCACCACTCTGTACAATGGTTTTAATTACATCCTACGATAAATAAATATCACAGAATTATAAACATTAATTTCAAACATAAAAAACTGCATTATAATCAGTCAATTCATTGTTAAGTTGAGTGGTTTTCTGACAGCATCCTGTATGAATCATTACATTTAACCATAATTTTTTTCCTTCACAGAAGAAAAGGAAAAAGCTTTTATCTTTAATTAAATTCATCAAAAGATGACAACTTAAATTACCTAAGTGAAAAAGACGACTGCAGTTCATATCAAGGAATAGAGAGTCCCAGAAGCTACCCAAGTCAAAGAAATAAAAGTGCCACTGCCCCAAATGTTGATTTATCACAGGATCAACAAAAAAGAATAAAACTTGGAATAATAAAAGAGTTCTTTTCAAATTTTTATTATAGCACCAGGTAGTTGTTCTCCAGATGCTCAGAGTAAGCTTTGTATTTTTCTAGGTTCTACACCTTTGTGGGCTCTGGCAACACTGGATTATATACAAAGGGACTTCAGCAGAACTTAAAATTCTCTGTCTCCTTCATTTCTCATGGTGCCCACAGCTCTGTCCCCTCCAATGGCAGAGGAGGCAGTGGGCTCCAGACTGAGTAAATTCCAGCGCCAACACTGACTTCCAGCAAATTATCAAACCTCTCCGCATCTCAGTGACTTTATCTATAATGTTGGGATAATCTAAGTGTATATCGCATAGGTTTTTGTGATAATTACAAAGTTATTACACAAAAAGCACATGTAAGAATATATGGCAAAGGTTAAATAAAAAAAATGGTAACATTTATTTCTAGCACCCATTTTTGTTTTCATCCCAGGGTTTTATTGCCTAAAAACTCTTGGATTAAATATGATTTAGTGGAAAGTCTCAATTGTAGAATATTGTTAAGGTAACTTTCTTGCTACTTTTCACTATTTTTAGTAATTTGAAGTAAGCACTGAATATTTTAAGTAGTCTATCCAAGTTAGCTTCAAAGGTACAAAACTAACTGTAATCAGAAATATTTTTCAAATTAATTTGCTAAAATATTTGAAAAAGGGTTTCCTTTATGCTTCCATCTTATGTAAATTTTTAAGAAAACTGTTTATAGACAGTATCTTTGCTTTAAGCCCAAACTTGTTTAGTGATCAAACATTCTAAATAATGGAGACCAAGTACTGAGTTTCTATGGTAGCTGTGTTCTAGCATCTAATAAAGTCTTTGCCCATCAACCTCTTTTAGAAAGTGAGAAACTATCTTTTCGAGCCTTTTCTAATGAAAAGAAAGCCACCCAATATACTGCTTACTCGGTGGCAGTTTATTTGAAACTGATGTAAAATTCTTAAAATTAGTAAGGAATTTTATAAAGATCACAAAGGAGCTTACTGAGTAAAGAAGACCACAGAGACTCATAGATACACACGCAGTCACCTAAGGAAGGTTCCTGGACTGTCATTTCATCCTCTCTTTTGGGAGTCGCCCTGAAAAGTCCACTGTAGTAGAATGAAGGGCAGGGAATGAATGAAGGAAATTTGTATATCAGAAATGAATAGCCCGGGCCGGCCCCGTGGCTTAGTGGTTGGGTGCGCGCGCTCCGCTGCTGGCGGCCCGGGTTCGGATCCTGGGCGCGCACCGAGGAACCGCTTCTCTGGCCATGCTGAGGCCGTGTCCCACATACAGCAACTAGAAGGATGTGCAACCATGACATACAACTATCTACTGGGGCTTTGGGGGCGGGGGGGATTTAAAAAAAAAAAAAGAAAAGAAAAGAAATGAATAGCTCCTCTGCCCCGCTAAGTCTAAGCATAGGTTCTTTCCAGAACAGATATCTGAGTATTTCCTTTTAAAATTCCTGCCCTCTTTCCTCCTACTTCAATAAATGCTTATTAAATAGCTACTCTATGGAGTTGCTCTGCCTGACAGAATGGGGGATGAAAGATAAATAAGCACTGTATTTATATCATATGACAAAAAAGAATTAATAATATTGATACCTACCCTTTATGGAACAACTATACACTGGATTGTACTGGGTAGCTTACAGATATAGCTCATTTTTATGCTCACAGAAAGTCCCATTAGCTAGATATTATCTCTAGTTTACAGATGAAGAAACTGAAGCTCAGATTAAGTTATGAAATTTGCCCAAAGTCAGTGATTAAGTGGTAAAAAGCCAAGATTCAAATCCAGGCAGTCTGACTGGTCTACAAAGAAGTCTATGCCCTAACTCCATCACAGTGCCATGCGCAGGCAGTCACTGAAGGTGATTCACAGAGGCTCTAGGAAGGTACTGTTAACTTCAAGATATTAACAACAAAAGGGTATTAGCATTACTTGATAGAGCAAGAAGGTTCAGAGAATTACAAATAATTTTAACCAATGCACATCTAAAATTAATCCAGAAACTTTAACCTCTGAAACCATTTCATTTATAATAAGTAAACTATAGTAATATATAGTGAAACATTTCTCTGGGTAATCCCTCTAAACTCTAGACGTCTCTGTAAAGTCTCTAAAAATTTTGGAGATATTTTATAATGTTTTGCTAAGTTTGAAACAATTTATTTCACAATCCTATTTCTCAAGGAGTTTTCTTATGGAAAGTTAAATTTTGGTACATACATAACCATAGCAAATTATCTATGCTAACAATCTCACATAGCATTTATGGTCAATTTGCTCTTAATTACTGAGGTAAAAAATCCATGTAAAGACTTTCTTGAAAGCTGTTTAATAACGTTGATGACAATAGAATGTTTTGAGATAGGCTTGAATTTGAGATAATCAATTTATAAGATTGCAAGCTGGTATAGCAACTGAATCACCTAACGAAAACTTTCTTTCTCAACTTTGTATTAGCAAAGCCTACTTCTGTTTATTGGATAAATGAGCAAATGACTAAATACATTTGTTTAAACAAGTTTTTAGCTTGATAACTGATGAGGAATGTTTTACTCTTGAAGAGTAAAGAAAAGTGCCTACTTTGATAGCAGGGAATTCATATCCCTAGTGTAGAGGCAAACTGTATTTGTCTTTCTGTTTTTGATAATATCTACAGTCATAAGGTCCAGCTCATTGGTCAGGAGCCCTGGCCTAGGGCACTGTTTCAAGGGAAGATGCGAATTTACCTACTGGCATGAGGACAGGAATACACTGTATATGGCTGAGATGACAAAGACAGCGTGAAACCTTGAGTCAGTGCAAACTTTTGGAGGGTTGGACTCTAAGATAGAATTCAGGGTGACTTTAAAAGGAGTAGGGTCTTCAAAGTTTAAAAATAACACAAGGAGAGAGCTGTAACTCACAACAGTTGGTCAAGGGTCTATAGGAATGTAATATATTGGTACCTAGTGTCTAATTATTTTAAAAGCTTACTACAGAGCAGCCTTTTCCAAAGTATGTCCAGTGGAATGGTAATAGATATCACTTGCAAAAAAGACCCATTGTCAAATAGTTTGGGAACCAGTGGATTAAATAAAGTTAAGGAGGTTTCTTTAGAGTAGTACTAATAATGTGTGCTGTGAATTCCAAAGGTGAGGAAAGGAAATGCACTATAATAACTAATCTGACCATACAACTCTTTTTCTTTGTGGAACATTTCTTGGGGTTATTATTTGATGGAACATATTTTGAGAACTCTGCTCAAAAGGAATCATTGATTCCACTTTAATGTTTGTTCAATTTAAAAATAATTTAAATTGATAGTTCTAATCTGTAGCTCACACAAAGAACACACTTTGTATTCTGATCATTAAAGTATGTGAATCAAGGTTCCCATTGCTGCTTGGCAGCAGTATCCTCTCAATTGTAGGAAAGACACATAAAGGAAAAAACAGCTTATTTGGTACTGAATTGTAAACCTAAAGTTATAATGTGACTATAAAGTTGCAATCCTATATCATTTCAAATTGTTTTTTTGTTACACACACACACACACACACACACACACACACACACACACTCCCCTAGAAAGATACCATGCTATATTTCTCTTGTCTTCAAAGAACCCACATGGTAATGGATGCTTCACGGGTATTCAAAAACGTTTTTTGGGGAGGAGTGGGCAGTTAGATGAGGGAAAAGGAAATCTATGATAAATTAAATTCACAGAAAACCTCAAAACCTTCAAATCTCAACTTAATATTATAGCATTTGAATAGTTCTAAGATTTAGTTGTTTAGGAAGCTGGGATACATCTTCCCATGGACACATTTTTGTGTCCACTAGTGGTCTGATTATATAATTCTGTTAGTTTATACTGAACTGAAGGTATATTATGGATTAATCAAGGCTTTGTTGGCCTGACCACCACATGGAACAGGAATTTATCTGCGAGTTCCAAATTTGGATGCCAAAAAAAGTCTCTGTTTGTGCAATCTAGTTAATAAAATTATGGTTTGCCTAAAGTCTAAACCATTGGTAAGAATTCTCATGGAGTAGAGCAAAGGATTAAGGGTAAAGGCTCCAAAAAGTATGGAAGAGTGAGTTGGGAGTAAGCAAGTTAGGGAGAGTCAGCTGTACTTCTTCCTGTAGTCTCTTGTTTTTATGAATGGCATAATTACCCCACCTGGTGTGAAGCCCCAAACTTGGAATTATCTCTTTGAAGGTAACTGGAAAAATTATCTTGGAAAAAACCTTTCTCCTTTCATCTTAATGCTGAAGTCTATCAATTCTACCACCTATATGTTTCTCAAATCCTTCTCTTCTTTTCCATCCTTACTGCTATTAGGTTGAACCATATGAAATTTGCTTCTGTGTCAAATTTGAAATGTGTGTCAAAAATGGTTGAATATCAGCAATTTCAAATTGCTCAATCCAATATCTTAATTCAGGCCTTCACCAGCTCTCATGTATACTTTCACAATAACTCTCTGTTTTCCCTCCCCCATTAAACCTAATGTCATCTTTCTAAATGAAAACCAAATAATGGCACCTTGCTGCTTAAAATTCTTTAAGAGCTCCCTAATTCTCTGCAGCACCAAATCCATATGCCTTAACTTGGCATAGAATTCATCAGAACAGAATCACCAATTCTCTTCCTCTTTGGCCACTGTTTTTACATGCTCTGTGTTCCAGTAATACTGCTTTACTGGCAGTTTCCCTCTCAAACTATGCTGTTTTAGATCTCTGTGCTACTGTACACACTGTTGTTTTTGCCTGAAAGGCCCTTCCATCCTTTCTCTTCCCCTTCTTGCGAGAGAGTCCTAGTTAACCTCTAAAACATCATCCCTCCTCCGACGCCCAGACAGAGTTGGTCTCTCTTTCCTCTAAGTTACATCTGAATGGTACATGTGGCTTTAATGCTGTTTTTATATCTGTCTCCCCACTAGACAGTCAATTCTTGAAAGTAACACTATATTTTATAATATTTATACTGCAAGCGCTGAAAAGTTAACTGTTCAATGAATGGGCTTGACATAGCAGTTATGATGGAGGAGAGGTAAAGGGGTACTACAGGAGGGCATTTTGCTATTTTTTCTTGATACTTTCTATCTTGCCAACATACTACTTGGTTCTGTATTGGTGTCAGTGAAAATGCATGGGCTTCTAGGCTGCTCTGGGTGAGACAGGTAACAGGAAGGTCCTGGTTAACAGTTGCTTTGCCCCAGGCAAAGATGCCAAGAGGTCACATCTGACGGTAAAGAACATTCTTATGGCCAACCAGCTGGTGAAGTAAATTACTATGGTGAAGTAAATTATTTATATGAAAGAAATTTGCACAAGTCAAGGAATATTTTGAAGTTTTTTCTCTTGCCATCTTCTTTTAATTTGTTCTAGAAATAAGTGAAAATAGCTGGTGGATTTTAGTTCTAAATCGTCCTTCTTCTCATGTACAGTCACTACTGCAATTGTACACAAGTGAAGTGGTCAGAAGGCTCACCTTAGAAAAGAGGTTCTAAAAAAATAGGGTATATAGTCTAGATACTAAATCAGCTGCTGAACTGCTGGCCTGGGCTTCTACCACCGCGATCTTTAAAGAGTTCATTTGTTCATTCTTTTATTCATTCACTTAACAAATATTTATAGGTGATCTGTCATGTGACAGACACATACTAGGCTGGACACTGCCATGAGAATGGATTCTGTCCAACTCTGTGAGTTCCGGGCATCATATATTATCAAGATATCATTTAATTTCTAAAGATCAGTGGCCAGGGCCGGCTCCGTGGCTTGGCGGTTAAGTGCGCGCGCTCTGATGCTGGCGGCCCGGGTTCGGATCCCGGGAGCGCCCAGAGGCACCACTTCTCCGTCCAACGTGAGGCCGGGTCCCACGTACAGCAACTAGAAGGATGTGAACCTATGACATACGGCTATCTACTGGGGCTTTGGGGGGAAAAAACTGAATAAATAAAATCTTTAAAAAAAAAAATAAATAAAAAAAAAATAAAGATCAGTGGCCAGCTTGGTCAGTGCCTGGCACATACATGTTTGACATGGTGATGGTGGTGCAGGTGGTAAAAATAACAGCAGCAACAGCACCCTCCATTTACTGAGTGCTTACTATGCCCCAGGCAACAGCTGAGCACTTTGTATACGTGATCCCCTTGAATCATCCTTACAATGCTTTCAGGTAGGTATTATCCTAGTTTTTATATATTAAGATACTGAGATGTGAAGACACTCGATCAGTAAATAGTAGAGATAAAGTCTGAACTCATATCTGTTTGATTCCAAAGTCTTACTCTTAACTATTATGGAACAGAACTAAATAAAAAAGCTCAATCTTCAATTATTTTTACAGAACTGTTACTTAATGTATTTATACATAAATACATAAAAATACATTATGATGTAGGATCTATGATATTGGGTTTCCAAAAAGGCCACTTGAATGTTTTCTGGTGACCGGTCTCCTCTGGAACTTACTTTTGATTTACTGTGCCGTATGAGAGCAGAGAGCAGTCTGTTTGACTCCCCCATCACTCCAGCGTGATCTTTGGCTTCACACCATTCCACCAAACGCTCTACTAATTTAACATTCTTTCCCAGTTGTTCAGCAGCTTCTGCTATAGGAAAGAAGGCAAACCACAAAGGAATCAATCACTGATAGGCAATCCACTGAAATAATTGGTAAAGATGGAAGAGTGTGAAGGAAAACTATATATGTAAAAAACACAACAATTTTAATAAAGCAAGAACTGCAAATATTCCATATCTGATGGACTATTTGGCTTTTTCTATAAAGTTGTAGACTTTCATACAAAATATAAAAATAAACAACCCCATAATCTTTTGGTTCAGCCTGGTAGTCTGCTAGTACTCTGGCAAACTGTAATGGTTTTTAGAAGGACTCTAAGGAATCAATATAGAGAAAGGTTTAGAATTCAGAAATAAGTAAATAAACATAATTCATCGCAAGGAGTGGTTTTCACTGTTGTTTCTCTAAACAGAAAAATGATCTCTCTGTTTGCAAAACAAATTTAAAAAAATTTTGACTGTCACTGTATTGAAACACAATGATTTTAAAGACAAGGTAAAAACGGGAATGGAATGCCAAAACATAAAAACCCTTCAGGAACTGCTAATAAATCAACCTAAAATGAGGATTATATGTACTAATAAAGACAGATACAATTTAATTTCCATTTAAAGTCAATTATAACAAGCATGGGATTAATGAATGAGGTTCCAAAACCAATCTCTTTTTGCCTTTTATTTGCTATTTATCTTTATGATTACATAATTCTGAAAGCTAAAAACAAGTCCTTTTTCAACTATAGGCACATTAAGACTATCATACCAAAAATGCACCTCGGGAAAGCCTTTCTCTTACCTTGTGCATCTATTAACATTCTTAATGTTCCCAGAAGTTTGAATTGAACCGGGGGCATTTCAGACTTAAGGAATTTCAAAACTGCCTCTGTGACTCCAGCTGATAACATCTTTGCTTTATTTACAACTAGGGAGAAAAAGAGACTACAGTTAAAATGATGCTAGCATTCTTGAAGATAATCAATCAATTCAATACACATTTATTGAATGTCTTATTATCTTTAAGGCCCCATGTTATATTTTTTTATTTAAAAGCAATCTTGTTACTTTTCTGTGAATTTTAAGAATGGGATTGGGGGCAGGGGCTAGGGGATAAGTATCCTGTTTGTCTAAAGGATTATAACATACTAAATCATACTTACTGGCTTTGAAACCTAACCTCAAAACACTTACTTAAATAATTTGTAAAGGAAATCTGGCACTGTTGCCTTCTTATTTACAAAAAGCACAATTCCTCAACTTTGATAAATGTTTCTTCTTACCTCTGTCCTTGGTCCAACTGTGTTAATACAAATGTTATAGACATTAATAACAATATTAATCTGATATATGAACCAAATTGTTTGCATATAATTATGCTATTTCACCTAATGAGAAATTTATTTTTAGAAAGTAGAATAAAAGAATAGTTTTAACTATCTCCTGTATTATTTCCCATGATAACGTGATTTCATGGCTCAAAAGCCTTTAATCCAAAAAGATACATTGAGGCTATTTTTAAAAATTGTATGTCTGTTTGTAGGGAAAAAAAAAAACCCTTAGAAGTCATTCTTTAGGGGACTCTTTTAACTGATGTCATTATCTTACCTCAGCTGAAGATGCTTAAAAAAGCTTAACTATACAATATGATGAAAATCTAGGAGTTCACCAAAGGTAATAAAATATTTGAACAATCTGAACAAAGGCAAAGATGATGCTTGTATACTTTCAGAAAACTTATTTAACATAGGATCTCGATTTATCAGTAAGAAAAATGTAAACAATTTGAAGACTACTTTTCTTGGTCAGGGCAGGTCCACAAATCACATAAAGCAAAGATCTTCCCAAAACAAAGACAGTTGCAGCCCCTTCTTAGGTCTTACCTGGAATGGCAAGGTTTCTGAGGGCACTGAGGGCGGCATGCTGCACAGTTACATTTCCATCTTCCACATGTCTGTCCAGTAAATCCATAAGCTTTTCTACAATCCCATGGTCTACCATATGGATACAATTTCCATCTGAACAAAACAAAAGCATTTTTTCCCTCCTCTTTACAAATATCTATAAATATTTTGTAATACTGATGCCTGCCCATTATCTACATTAGGGAAAATGGAGCTATAGGAAAATAAAATGAATTCCAACTCTTTCTCCTATCAAATTTATAGATTTTTTGGTTTACTGAGTGAGAAGTCTGATAAGATTTCTAAAATAGATAAAATTTTAAAAATCAGAAAAATCTCTAGCTTAGAGTCTGATAATATATCAGAAGATGAATAAGTAGAAACCACATGCTTAAAATGTCCACATAGTCTTCATGTGTAGTTAAGTATGCCTGCATTCTGCCAAGGATACCGTGATAATACACCACATTTTGTTATCATGGCTGATATTTAAATTATTTTTCAATGACAGAACTTTTGAAACATTTATAAAGCAGAGAGAATATTATAATGAACCACCATTTACCCTACGTTCAGCTATAACAATTATCAATATTTTGCCAGTCTTAATTCCATCATTAAGGAGTTAATGATGGTTCCCAAAAAGAAGGGAGTAAAAATGGAAGTCATCCATTATAATATAACAACTTCACATTGGAATAAAATCAAACTAAAAACAAAAATAACCCATATTTCCTAGACATAGTATAAGAATGAGTTTCTAGACTGAATAGCTGGAGTGGCAGACTTCAGAGATAACCATGGAGGTCTAATACCTCTGAAATATTATTAAAGTAAATTACATATTCTACCCTCAACCAGAGGATTACCCACACTTACGTTTTGTAGGCATAAAAGTATAAATTGAGGCACAATAACCCTACAATGAATACTCAGATTATTAAATCCAACATAAAATCACCAGGCAAGAGATCATATCCTTCCAGATCAGATGTATATTAGAATGGGACTCAAGTTTACTAACGTCTGAAGTGCAGAGTACTCAAAAGAACTTCATAATCACTGTTTATAATCTTTAAACTATTAGAACTTAGCTGAATTGCATAAAACATGTAATTTGTTAGAAAAGTCACTATACGTATATCACGTCTCTGAAAAACTAAGGTGGCAGTACACACACATACTATGTACACTTCTGAACTGTTCTAGTTTTAGTACATGTAATGGCAAAGCAAAAATTAAAAAATATAACACTGTAACACCTGCTTTAAAAAGGATGAACTAATATGCTTACCATTTCTGGCAAAATTTGCAATTGCCAGCGCTCCAGCAAGCTGCAGCTGGTGGTTGCTTGATGGGATCCAGGACAGCACCCTCTGAAACACATTCCCTTTTCCTCCTTCAAATAATTTCTGCATGGATTCATCTGGAGGTAAATAAAACAAATAGGTAAGAGGAAAATAATTATGAGTAATACATCCATATTCCTAAGTGAATATCCAACTGGGAAACTATATACTTCACAAACTATAATTCATAAAGGGAAAAGTCGTGACTTTTTATCATAAACTTTTAGTAGAGACTGGACAAGACAGTTTAGAATTTTTCTACTCTGAATCCCAATTAGCCATCTAGCTTTTAGTCCTCTGGTGCCAAAGCTGTCTCTTCTATATGACAGCTCTTTAAATATTGTAAGATAGTGAAGACTCCTCTTTTCCAGGTTTACTATTTCTAGTTTTCTCCATGATGTGCTTAAGGTTTCAAAATCATCACATCAACAGGATTAAATGAGATAGAAAAATGAAAAAAATGCCTGATACAGTGTTTACAAAAGAGATAATAAATTTTTACAAATCTGACAATCATGTTCTTTGGTGGGTATAAGTTACAATTCACCTCCAAGAAGTAGTAAAACCATTAGATCTGAAGCAGTTTTGAGCTCAGCAATATCATCTTCTTTGTCACTATCCACTTTCTGTTGAACAATCTCCAGGAGACATTCCACCAGGCCTGCTTCAACCAGCTGTAGTTTAATGGCATCTAAAGAATAATGTGAACAAAATAACCCAAATTTGAGATGAAACAGGAGTACTGGTATAAGCAATCAATTATAAGAAACCAAGAAAATGCATGATTTAGATAACACACCTTCAAAGAGTTGAATTTCAAAAGGAAGTATCTGACACTGTAGCTTAAATACACAAAAGCCTTATTTCATTTTTCCATTTGAAATTATGTCACCTTTCAAAATGTCATGTAGCACCTAGACATACTGATTCTCAGCTCTGAAGGCAGTAATACCGCTCCACTGTTACTCTAGGTATAATGCTCATGTTTAAAAGGAAATACTACAAAATATCCCATACTGTTTAGAATAAAACACACATACCTGTTATATAAAGTTAAAATATATCCACTAATGGAGTTTGAATACAAAGTTATTGAAAAGTAAAGAGCTATTACTAAATTTTAAACTACATCACAAGTATATTTGGATTCACATTTGTATAGGTGTTATTTTTCTAGGTGGTTAATATATCTATAACTTTCTGAACTTTAAAGGATGATTATGCATATATGTATACTGACAGATTGTAACTAGTATTTAGGTGGTGAACATGATGTAATCTATGCAGAAATAGAAGTATAATGATGTACACCTGAAATTTATACAATGTTATAAACCAATGTTACCACAATGAAAAAAAATAAAAATAAAAGTTTAATGAAATAAGATTTAAAAAAAAAAATAAAGTCAAGGTTTTTAAAAAGGGCTTCAGGTTTTCATTAATTTGAAGCTTTCCTGGGTGATGGGTACACGGTTGTTCATTATATTATATTATCTCTACACCTGAATAGGTTTTAAAATTTTCATAATAAAACTTGAAAGAAAAAAACAACTTTCAAACTTTCTGATGGGTAACCAACAAAATAAGGAATTTTAGAAACAGAATTTACATCTTCATTATATTTTTAAAAATTATCTTCACAGCAAACTCTACTCGTCTATCAATTTTGCTTACATTCCTACTATCTTAAATATTCTTTCATTACAGAACTAATTTCATTGAAGATTTTATATTTTCATCCATATTCGTCTCCCCCATTAGCGCAGATATCATACCTCATTCATCTTTGTGTTTTAACTGAAGTGGCCTACCTAAATCCTTTGGGTGTATTTGGTACTGCTTAACATAAATGCTAATCAACTAACCTTAGAAATACATTTGCTACACGGAAATTTTTACATTTAAATGTTATTTTTCAGTTGGATTTTATTTTAGTCATTGGTTCCCCTAAACTGTATATACATACATCTACAGCAATGGCAGTTTCAGCTTGTTATTTGGGAGAAACAGACTTTTTTTTTTTTTTTTAAACTTAAGACTGTTTCTTTCAGGCAATTTTAATGTGTAAAAATTTAGCTTTTTCCTATCACCAAGACCACTGATTTTCTTTAGAATACTATCTCAGAATACACAGAATATTCAACCAGAAGTTTTTTTTAAAGGTACACTTGCACTGTGCCATGTTGAAAGTAGGGCGTTTCCTTGGTTACAGAATGCCAGGGCTGGAAATGTGTGGTGACTAGAACTGAAAGCCATGATGAAAAAGCCTTAAAAATACTAAAAACCTTGAGTTATACAAATTCCAGTTTAAATGTTGGAATCACTCTCCTTTGCATACCAGGAAAACCAAGGACGATATCCTAAGAATAGGCCCGAAACACGTTTTCAAAGGTATCATTCAATCCACTGCACAATTATGAAACAGATCGAGGTGAAGGTGGTAGAAGAGAAAACAGAAATAAGAAATAAAAACATTGTTGTTTTCAAATACTGCAAGGGAGGTTACAGGTAATTCGCTGGCATAAAACTGACTGAAGATCACAATAAAAATTTCATTTGGTCAAATCACCAAATGAGATGAAAAACAAACTCCTCTCTGAAGAATAAGACCTAAGGCATTTGGAAAACTTAAAATGTGTCAAGATTAAAGTTTACAGGTGTCTCCTCTCACAGTTGGACTGTAATCATACATATACGGGGGAGACAAACTGCCTTATTAAGGAGGATAAGGCTTCTGCCTAAGCAGACAGCCCAGCACACATTTACCAACAGCATTCTGTCCAAGGACATCTATCTTCATCACCACCATTTGCATATATGCATCTACGTATACATACATACATTTATGTACATGTATTTAAAAATCTTTTCTAAATGGTAAAATGCACAAATGCAGGAAAATGCATTAAAATACATGTTAAGCTTAATCAATTATTATTAAGCAAATAACCAGGTGACTACCATCTAGATCAAGAAATTCACTACCAACAAGCCAGGAAGACCCTCTGTGCAATTGCTTATCCTATCACAAATCCCTCCCTCCATTCCTCTCAAATCACTACCCTGATTTTTATAATCACATCCACACTTTTCTTGATTGTTTCATCAAATAATCATTCCTAAAAACTACAGTTTAATTTTACCTCTTTTGAACTTTAGGTAAATGGAATCTTAGAATATGTATTTTTCAGTGTTGGCTCTTCCTTTTAATATGTTTATAAGATGCATCTACACTGTTACAGCTGTCTTTATTCCTTTTCACAACTGTGTCTTTTTCCATTGTGTGTATATTTCCATGAATATACCATGACTTACTCTACTATTAATGGATATGAGTTGTTTCTGTTTCTCATTACTATAAATAATGCTGTTATGAACATTCCTGTAACGGCTACTGATGCACATGTGCACATGTTTCTGGGTATATACCTAACAGTGGAATTGCTGGATCACAGGGAACGCGGATCTCCAACTCAATAGATACTGTTTTCCACATTGTACCAGTTTACACTCCCACCAGCACTTAATGAGTGTTGCCACTGCTCCACACTTTCATCAACACTGGTATTATCAGACTTTCTGGTGGGTACACAGTGGTATTTTATTGTGGCTTTATTTTGCATTCCCTGATTATTAATGATTGAGTGTATTTTTGTGTGTTTATCAGCCATTTGGATTTTATCTTTCATCAAGTGCCTACTCAAATCTTTTGCACATTTTCCCACTGGGTTTTCCACATTTTTCTTAATGATTTGTGGCAGTTTTTATACATTGTACACATGAGCCCTCTGTTAGTTATATGTGAAGTAACTATCTTCTTCTCATGCACTCTCTTAATTTTCATTTTTAATGGTGTCTTTTGAGGAATGGAAATTTTTACCTTTAAAATAACCAAATTTATCAATCTTTTCCTTTATGGTTATAGCTTTTTGTGACTTCAGAAAACTTTCTGTACTCCAAGGCCATGAAGATCTTATCTTATATTTTAAGATAAACTTTCTGAATTTTTTGTGTAGTATGAAGTGGGAGTGTGTAAGTGTGTCTCCAATTGTATTTTTTTCCATTCCCAGCAGGCTTTATTGAAAAGACTGTCTTTTCCTTATTGTTTTGTAGTGACTTCTTTTTTTGTTTCCTAATAAAATAAACATCTATTAACGTATCCATTTGTTTATGGGCTATCCTGTTCCATTGGTCTTCTTGTCCATGCTTGCACCAATACCCAAATGTTTTAATTACTACAGTTTCATCAGGATAAAGCTTTATTATTGTTATGCAGTAAAACCAGTCCTGCTACCTTGTTCTCTTTCATAGTATCTTGGCTATTCTTGGTCTTTTGGTTTGAACTGCACTGAGTCTACAGCTTGATATGGGGAGATATAACATCATTACAACATTGAGGTTTCCAATCTATGAAAGTGACATAGCTTTCAATTTACTTACATCTTCTTTAATTTCTCTTGATGATTTTATACAGTTTTCTGCTGGAGATCTTACATATCTTTTATTAGTCCATTCTTAAGTATTTAATTTTTTTTTTTGCTGAGGAAGTTTTGCCCTGAGCTAGCATCTGTTGCCAATCTTCCTCTTTTTGCTTGAGGAAGATTCTCCCTGAGCTGACATCTGTGGCCAATTCTCCTCTATGTTTTATATGTGGGTTGCCACCACACCATGGTTAAGTGGTATTGGTCTGTGCCTGGGATCCAAACCTGTGAACCCTGGCTGCCAAAGCGGAGGCTGCCAAACTCAACCACTACTCCA